GTCCCACCATGGTCTCTCAGCTCTCCCCTGCTCTCTCCCCTACCTTCTGCTTGCTTTTTTTGGTTTCTTACCTGTTGCCAGCACCAGAACCCAAGGACTGTGTGATCTTGAGGTTAAAAGATGGCATTTTGAGCGCAGAGTGAATCAGTGGATTTTGCTTGCAAGTAACAATTCCTTTGACTTTTCTCCTCTTCTTTTACTCCCCTCCAACTTTTAAGCATGTCACCCATTGTTTGCTCTTTTATTAATAACAGGGYCCACTGTCTCTGCGAATGAAATGATGTAAAACAAAGAAAAGTGCCCGCATTAAATTCTCCGGCAGGGGATTACCTTGCTGGCATTTACATATCTATGCAATAAATATTTTAACATGTTAATTATACACTAATAAGAAAAATACCTTTTGAACTTTCAGTCAAATTGACACACACAGAACTGAGTCCATCAGGGAATTAAAAGCAATTAGTTTTGTAACAGAGCATAGTCACACTGTTTCTTCTCTGCAAATTGTTCCGTGGTCACCAAGCCAGCCAGGCTTTTTTTTTGGTGAAAAGTTGGTGGAAAGACTGGCAGGTACTGGAGTTTTCTGTGCAGCTCTCAGGGGCCTGTCCCATGGTGGGATGCTCCTCCCTTCTCATGGGGTTTCATCCTGACCCTGCAAACCTGGCTGTTCCCAGKCATGGAGAAATCAGACTTGTAACCATCTCCGTTTTCTTTTCCTCCTTCCAGACTGAAAACTACTCCTTTGATTCCAACTACGTGAACAGCAGAGCTCATTTAATAAAAAGGTACGTAGGCTTGCCTGAAGGGCTYGGGTTTGCCCTGCCAAATCCCAAGRGTTTAATGCYCTTCCATACTGYGTTATATACTATTTGCTTATTTTAATGTGCTAAACTTTTCAAGAGTAATAATTCGATTTTAAAACAGTASTTACTTCCCATTAAGTCCCATTGCTTATAGTTTGCAATAAAGGAAAGTCTTTTTTCCTTCTCTTTGGCTTCTTCACGCTGGGAAGGTGCAGTAAGTGAGGTGGAGTGCTGTTACCCTGACAACTTTCAAATTCTGAGAGTTTATTCCATTTGAATGCACAGGAATAAAGGGATAGATTTGGGTGGTGAGATCTCCCTGCCATGCGAGGCGGGGAATATTTAAAAAAAAAACAAGTTGTTTGGGGGCAGGTAATTGGGTTGGATGCGGCTCAGTGTTCTCACTCACTGTTTCAGTTTGAATACCGAGGCAAACAGCGCTTTGCAAGGCTGATTTTTTCTGTGGCTAGGAAGGAAACAATCAGTTCAGCTGCAAGCTGGCAGCTACCCCTGGGGGAATGGAGCCYTCCAGGTGAAATGCTGCTGTCCTCAGAGCTTAGCTTGGTGAGGGGATGTCTGTGGGATTTCACACTGGGGTTACCCCGCTGAAGCCCCCTGGGTTGTGTTAAT